TCCTTTTCCTCCTCAACCTTCTCCTTCTCCTCCCCCTCATTGCCCTCCCGCCCTCTTTTCCTCCTCCTCCTCCTTCTCCTCCTCCTCCTCCTTCTCCTCCTCCTCCGCCTCCTCCCTCACGCCTTTTCTTCCTCCTCCACCTCATCTTCGATCGCCTCCACCTCCTTCTTCTTCTCCTTCTCGCCCTCCCGCCTCCTCCTCCTCATCCTTCTCCTCTTCTTCCTCACTCGCTCCTCACACCTCCTCATCTCTCCGAGAGGAGAATCTCTCCTCCTCCTCTTGCTCCTACTCCTCCTCCTCCTCCTCCTTCTCCTCCTCCTCCTCCTCCTCCTCCTCTTCCTCTTCCTCCTCATCCTCCTCATCCTCCTTCTCCCACAACCTATTCCCTCTTCCTCCTCCTCTCCTCCTCCTCCTCCTTCTCTTCCTCCTCCTCATCCTCCTTCTCCTCCTCCTCCTCATCATCATGATCATCATCAGCATCATCCCCTCTCCTCCTCCTCATCCTCATTATCAGTATCAGCCTTCTCTTCCCCCTAATCCTTCTCGTCGTCCTTCCGTTCCTCCTCCTCATCCTCATTCTCCCCCTGCTCCTCCTCCTCCTCCTCCTCCTCCTCCTTCTCTTCCTCCTCCTCCTCCTCATCATCATCCTCCTCTGTATCCCCGTCCTCCTCCTCCTCATCCTCATTCTCCGTCTCCTCCTCCGCCTCTTCCTTCTCATCCTCGCCCTCCTCCTCATCTGTCTCCTCCTCCTCCTCCGCCTCCTCCTCCTCTTCCTCAGGAGCCCAAGAGTGACGACGGCTACACGGTTCCGATGACCCGCTCAGATAATACCACCAACAGCAACATGTGCGGCGGGCCCCATAGGAAGACGGCTCCCGCCTGAGACCTCCTCGCAATTCACGCACAGACGAGGCCCTCGCCTAATTGTTCCTTCATAGTCAGGCCTCAAGGGCCCAAAAGCGACGACAGCTACAGGGTTCCGATGGCCCGCTCGCATGAAACGCATGAGCGTCGGGCACCATAGGGAGAGGGCTCCCGCCTGAGACTTCCTCGCGATTCACTCACAGACGAGGCTCCCGCCTGCCAAAAGGAACGACAGCTACAGGATTCCGATGACCCGCTCGGATTAAACACCTGAGCGGCGGGCCCCATAAGGAGGGGGCTCCATCACGAGCGCGACTCCAATAGGGAGCGACTTGAGGGTTCTCTGGTCGCGCGGTCGTCGATACACTTATCGGCAGAAGGGGCTGTCGGGTCGGGAGGCCGTGCCGTCGTCAGCATTCCCAGCCCCTCCTCTTCGTTGTCAGATCTTCGTCGTCGAAATTTCTGCGATCTGGCGTGAAGTCGTCGCGTTTTAACCTGGTAGAATATCATTTGACTTGTCGTCGTCATGTTTTGCAACCCTCCCCTGGTGGGCTCCACATTATGATCGTCAGTTTCTTGACCCCCCCTTCGCATTTTCGTCGCGAGTCCACGTCGTCGGTTTCGATGTTGCGTGGGTGCAATAGCGTTGATTCACCTGTGATGGGGCTCCCCCCTGAGACTTCCTTTCAATTCATTCACAAACGAGGCTCCGTTGACGATGTTGTTGTGATGATGATGCTGATGATGATGATGATGATGATGATGATGATGATGATGATGATGATGATGATGATGATGATGATGATGATGGTGATGGTGATGGTGATGATGATGATGATGATGATGATGATGGTGAGTGATGATGTGAGTGTGTGGGTGTGTGAGTGAGAAGGGAGAGGTGTTCCTGTTCCTGCGCGGGGTGTCCAGAGAAAGCAAGAGCCCCACTTTGGATGTGTGGAATAGTGAAACGCACTCCTACCCCAGAGCTGGGTGATCACACGCGTCTCACCGCCCGCTTCGGTTCACCTCTCATGTGCCTCCCCCGAGGCTGGCACGCCTCTCACACGGATCGTGCCCCACAGGGAGCTACACCGTGGCTTCAGAGGGAAGATTCGCGTGCGCTCCCCCGTCACATCTCGGCACGCCACTCGCAGGGACCATGTCCTGCAGGGAAATACGGCCCCAGTGGTTGCGATCTCGTGCGCTTCTTGCCTCTTTCGTCGCATTCCTCACAGGGATTGTGCCTCACAGGCAGCTTTACTTGTGGCCTCAGTGAGCGCGATCGCGTGCCCCCCCCCTGCCCATATCGTCACACCCCTCACACGGGTTGTGTTTCAAAGGGGCTTTGTTTGAGGCTCCAGTGGGCAAGTTCGCATGCGGGGTTCCGCCCCAGTCGGACCCCCTCTCACACGGATCGTGGACCGCAGGCGCGCTTGCATGCAGGATTCGGCCCAGCTTGGCACACCCCTCAAGCGGCGTCGAGCCCCAAAAGGAATTCGGCGCGCCTCCGCGCGCTGACTCCGTGCCCCCCTCATCCGCACTGCCCCGCGGCGCGAAATACATGAAGGGAGGGCCATGCCCTGCGACACAAGAAGTTGCATAGGGTTGGGCTATTTCGCCAAGCGATTCACCTCAAGCTGGCCGTGGGGATCAAGGTAGACGTTTTAACCGCAGGACCACCCCGAAAGAACCACACAAGGCCTCCGAACGAGGCACACGACATGCCATACCGATAAACATACACTATGCTGTTATCATCCGCTTTATCCCCCATCCTTCTCCTGCGCGCTAGCGAGCTCCGACCGCATGCCGCATACCTTCCACGGCATGCGTGGATGCGTCGGTCGACCAAGTTTGGGGGAACTCATCTGCATTGGGGATAAGTTGTCCCTGCCTCCGGGAGGATCAATTGGATTCCTGCCAGAGTTTCTCTCACAGTGCTTCCGAACATCGTAGGAGATTGTGGTGTTATGTGGGCGTCGCACAGCCTTTCTGGTCGGAGTAACCCATAGGCTTGCGGTGAGCGTTGGTCCCCGATGCCGTGACACAAGCGCAAGTTGATTGCGACATTGCAGACTGTTGTTGGTCTGGTTGCCAAGTTCAGCACGCTGCTCCTACAAGTCTCAGTTTTGTCTGTGCCGACGGCATGTCCAATTGATGACGGACGTGTCCCTAGATTCCACACTTGATCGCACAAGTAGTTGCAACGTCTTGTGGCGTCCTGCTACGGTCCCACGTGTGCGCTGTACGATGTTGTGTGTGATCTGCCATGGCAGGACAAGTCGTCCCGTGAGAAGGCGCTGGAGTCCCTGCTGAGCAGCGACGAGATCCTCGTCTCTCTCTACGAGGCTCCCGCGCGGCCGGCCGACATGTCCCGCCGAACCCGCAGTACAGCCAAGACGCCAGGGTCACCGGCGCCGAGCCACGGGGGGGGGGAAGGCGGGCCTTCTCAGGAGGCTCGGAAGGCCTCGGGCCTTGGGCTTTCCGAAACGGGTGCGTCAGCCTTCCCCGAAGACACAGGACATGTTTCAGAAGGCTGGAGGGCTCTTGAGAAGCTTCGAGGAGGAGGAGGGAGGAGGAGGAGGAGGAGGAGTAGGAGGAGGAGGAGGAGGAGGTCTGCTCCTTCTCGCTTCCCCTCAGGCGCGCTGCCGATTCGTGGATCTAGGCCGGGGGGGCCGATTCGTGGCCGACGCTCGCCGTGGCCAGAGAAGCCCCCTCCGTTCCTGGTTCGGTGCTCCCTCCAGCTGCATGGCGACTGTACACCCGTCGAGGGGCGACGATTCCATGAGCCAGGCATTGATTTCTGCCAGAACGGAGCGAGCAAAGCCCCTGGACACACCATTCCTCCCCCCCCGATCTGCGGTTCCGCCTTCGATGGCATATCGCGTTCGGTGCATGGACGCAGCGGAGATATTCACGGGAAAGGTTTAGCGCCCAGGTGGTCAAATGGTTCTTTCACTGAGTGCGGCAGTTCTGCGCGGCCAGTGTACTGAAGCATCGCCAGGAGCACGAAGGCGGGCCCCCCTCGGAGGTTGCACCTGGCCTCAGCGCCCTCGTGCCGAGCTTCTGGCTGCCAGTTTGCGACCGCAGCGTGCCCGACCTCGCCCCTGCGAGCATCGCAGACGCCCCGAATACAGGCCCGCGCACACGTGCAGATCAGAGATGCCAGGCCACGAGAATCGGGGGCGTCCAAGAGGGAGGCCAGAACTAGGGGGGGCGGGGTGGAGATCATCCTCCGACTCCACTTTTGGCGGCGCGCACAGGGTGTTGCGGGGGCATGGCCTTAAAGTTTAGAAGGCAGGGGGTCTTCGGATGCGCTCTCCTCTTCTTTCGAGAAGGTCACGTGCGGCATGCTCGCGTCGTGTCGACGCGGCGGCGACACCGTTGCCGGCGTGCAAGGTTGAAAGCTGCCAGTAGCTGCAAATCGGCCAACACGGATCGATTTGTGCTGTCGGAGCGCGCCGACGGTTCAAGGCTGGACGATCCACGCGGTGTCAGAGACCAATGCCGAAGTCGTCGCATCACGAGCCTGCCGTAGGGAGGTGGCGGCAGGACGGGAGCATGCGAGCATCCACCAGAAGGTAAGACGTGCACTAGTGCATGCTGTTCGTTGCACGTCCTCCCCTCTGCCGCTCTCTCTCTCTCTCTCTCTCGCCCCCCGGTTTGTACCCTCCTTTCGACGGTCCAGCCGTCAGCCGGTTTGGTTGCTCTTGCGCTCCACAGGCCCCGCTTCCATTCCAGAACGGTGCCGGCGCGAAAGGGTCTCTTGGGGGTGGCGCAGGTGAAGGAGAGAACGAGAGATTATAGGTAATCGTGCGGAGTTTAATGAAATTGGTTACCTGCGAGTTCGCCTTGGGAGCTCCTTAAATCCAGACGGTCCCGATGCTGTCTCACCTGGCTGGGCCTCGCTGAAAACCAAGACGTGGCACACTTGGGCCTTTCACGAAAGGCGACCAGGCAGCAGCATTGACACACTGGACACGCTAGATTTGCCGTGTGTGAGACGCATCATCCCTGACAGCCGAGACCACCATCCGTTGGCTCCGCACGGTCCCTGTCGGAGTGCTATTTCCGTCATCGTCGCAAGCGGCCGTACCACGCGGGTGCGCCAGAGAGTGCTGAGGGTTCCAGAGGAGGAAAGGCAGCGGCACCGCGATGGGCACTACCTGACGGGTATGTTTTGGAATCTAGCCCCGAAAATGTGTTTAAGGCCTTGTCCGGGGGAGAGGGTTGGGATTGGACAGGTCTCTGGCCAAAGCGCCCGTCGGTAGGTCCTGGGGGTCGGCGCCGGGTTCGTTTTCCGTACTCAGGTGGCACAGGCGTGCTGTATAGAATTCATGTTGTCCCATGGCCATCCGCTAAGCACCATGCCTTCTCAGAAGGCCGTCTTCCTCGCCGCTCCCCCTTCCGCGCGCGGCAAGAAGACATAAGAAGACCTCCTCTGGCGGCACCACGTCCCTGAGGAGGCGGCCCAACGGCCCAGACCCCCCAACGACGGTGGCAAAGGCGAAGGCGGCGGCGACGGCATGCCAACTAGTCCTTCTGACGGCCCGACGACTCAGGCCCCTCGATGTTGACGACGGGGACGACGACGACGACGACGACGACGACGACGTCGACGACGACGACGACGCGCCTGGGAGACGGCAACCTCGACGACGACGACGACGACGACGACGACGACGACGACGACGACGCCGCCGACGCCGACGGCGACGGCGACGGCGACGGCGACGGTGACGGCGACGGCGACGGCGACGGCTACGACGGCGATGGCTACGACGGCGGCGACGACCCCGACGACGACGAATACGAAGACGAAGACGCCGACGACGTCGCCCCGGCACGAAGCTGCCGTTGCCCTCGGCGCCCCGCTGCGTCCCCGCAGCGCCTCTTCCCGCACCGGAGCGGCATTGCCCGGAGCCTCGGGAACACCGGCGGCGAGGAGTCGCGGCGCGCTTTCGCGCGTGCGACGCGACGACGACGACGACGACGACGACGACGACGACGACGACGACGACGACGGCGGCGGCGGCGGCGGCCGACGACGACGACGACGACGGTGGTGGCGGCGGCGGCGGCGACGACGACGACCTCCAGAGGCCTCCAGAGACCTTCGTCGAGCAAGGCCCAGGGCCCTTCAGATCGTGGCTCCGCGATAGTTCATCCTTCGACAATTTTGGCCTCCAGAAGAGACCTGGCTCCTGGGGCAGTCCTAGAAGTACCTACTCAGGATGCTCGGGAATCAAGAGAGCCAGCCTCGCCTGGAGGGTGTCGAGGGGCCCTGGAGCCCACGCTACGAACAAAAACGTGGCGTCGGATGTCTGGGACTGCGTCCTGCAGCCGCCCCCCTCTTTGCTGTCGCCTCGTGTGCTCCACTCGCGATCCTGTACCCCCGTTCGCCGCTTCGACCGCGCTAAGCGTCCGCCGGCGCTGCGACCAAGAAGTCAGAGGCTGCGCATAGGCAGCACCCAGGGGTAGTCCCAGCGGCCCCGTCCCAGCTGCCTTCAATCTATAATCTGCGACCACTTGCGAATCCTACCCCTGCGGGTCCAGTCGACCCTGGGGTCGGACACCCCCGCTGGAATTCAGATGGCAGCAGACATCCTTTGAGTTCTGAGCCCCAGCCAGGGCTTCAGAATTTGACCTGCAGGAGTAAGGCACACTTGAGGATGCCTACCCAGCAAGCCCCACCCGACCAAGTCTCCATAGGCACAGCTTGAGCTCAGGTCTTCGTGGATATCGGGCCGAGAATGAATGTGTGGAGGCCCCGTGGTGTAGTGGATATCTAAACCACTCCGCCTGCGGTAGCTGCGCAGCGTCGCTGTAGCGCTGGGACTCGGTGCTGAACCTGAGGGCCTCTTGGCGAGTGCTGCGAGGAGGAGGCGCGTCTTTTCAATGGGAGCAGGAGAACATTCAAATCACAATTGAACTCGGCATACGCACGTTGGGGATGCCGTGGTCGGCCTTTTCTGGGGAACGCGCCGATTTCGACCAGATCTGGAGCCCTGGAAAAGGCCGAAAGCCCGTCTGTTCGCCGCGCTCCCAAACGCCGCCGAGGTTGGGCATTCACTTCGCGCGCAGACGCAGAAGCTACTCGAGCATGCTCTGGGACATCCCTGGGGCCAGCGGGGAGGCCTCATAGATCGGCAGGTGGCGCTTCTCCATGACCTCTCTGCAGGAGAGCCTCCCATCGGCCGGTGAGCAAAGCTTTGCGAGGTGGGGGGTGATCCACCTCCATCGTCTGGGGAGCCGATGTCTTGGGATCCCAATGGGCGCTGGATGTGGACATATCTGAGCCCCTGAGGACCGAAATATATGCATGTCGACCGCCTCTCGAGGTCCAGGAACATCGGTGTCCCAGGCGGTGGACATGGATCAGTCCCCGCCTCGCAGCCTTGCGTCGGAAGGCGCTTTGTCGTAGGATGCGTCGTGCTTCGGCGTCCCGGCCTCCAGCCGCTGGTTCGCCTCGTCTCCACGGGCAAGGGATGCAGGCAGCGAGCAGCCTGCCCGTGGCGACAAGCAGAAGTCAGTCGAGCGCAGGCCTCAGCCAGCGGCGCCGCAGGCCAGAGGGTGGATAGGCGAAGCAGGGACGGGGCAGCAGAGTGGGGGCGTGCTGCGCGGAGGGTTCGTGTCGTGTCGACCCGGCGGCGACCCCAGCCCGGGCGTGTAAGTTTAAACGCCGCTGGTGGCCCAGAGTCGGATGACATCGAGCGATCTGCGCTATCTGATGGGCCGATTTTCCGCCACCACTACCATAGGTAAGAGAGGACGGAGGAGGAGGAGGAGGAGGAGGAGGAGGAGGAGGAGGAGGAGGAGAAGGATGATGATGATGATGATGATGATGATGATGACGATGATGATGATGATGATGATGATGATGATGATGATGATGATGATGATGATGATGATGATGGTGATGATGATGATGATGATGATGCTGATGCTGATGCTGATGATGTGATGCTGATGATGGTGATCGTGATGGTGATGGTGATGATGATGATGATGATGATGATGATGATGATGATGATGATGATGATGATGATGATGATGATGATGGTGATGGTGATGGTGATGATGGTGATGATGGTGATGGTGATGGTGATGGTGATGGTGATGATGATGAGGAGGAGGAGGAGGAGGAGGAGGCGGAGGAGGAGGAGGAGGATCTCCCCATCCCCCTTTCTCCCCTGGGCTGCCTATGGTAGTGGTGGTGGAAAGTTGGCCCATCACTATCGGAAAGCCGCGATCGTTCAAGGTTGGACGCTCCGCGCGGTGTCTCAGAGACCGACGCCCGAGCCGCCACGACAGGCACCAGCCGTACCTGGCCATGCTGAAGCCGGTGGCCTCAGCGGATATTTTCTAAGCCTTCCCCGAAGAGGCAGAAAACGTATCAGATGGCCAGAGGGCTTCTGAGAAGCCCCGCCGCCTTCTGAGAGAGCCTTTCCCTTCTCACTTCCCCCCCTTGCTCGCCGCCGACTGGCATTTGGGCAGCACCGCGAGCAAGTGTATGTACGTTCATGTGCGGAGCGCCCGCATCGCAGCGAGGACGCGCGGATGGGAGCATCGCAGTTTCTCGTGGAGGACGCCGCTTGTCTCCTTGAGAGGGCTGTGCAAGGGAGCAAGGTGGAGCCGGACTCAGTGGGTCAAAGGATGCCCGCAAAGCCGTAGAGGCACCATGGAGTTCCAGAGGGAGGAGAGAAGGAGGAGAGAGGGAGAACAGGGACATGATCGCCCCCCCTCGCTCACCATTCTTCCCTGCTCCCTCCTCCCACTTCCGTCATCCTCTCACCATCCACTCTCATCCCTCCCTCCTGCTCCCGCCCCCTTCTGCACCCCTCCCTTCTCCTGCTCCTCCCTCCCGGCACAGCTCAGTGAACTGAGCCACTCGTGGTATTCGACCAGTCCAGGCAATTCGGGCTTCCGCTTGCGCATTCCAGCAGGCGGCCTCCAGATGCTCCGGATTCATGCGGCGATGGCGCGCCGGCGACGCCAGCTGAGGCGTGCGAGCTTGAATTCTGCGACGCGGAGGCACCGAGGGACACGGTGACACCACTGGACCAGACTGAATTCAACCTTGAACGATCGGGGCCGAGATCGATTCAAGGTTTAGCGATCGACGCAGTGTCAAAAACATTTGCGCGCGCCGACGCCGCACGAACCTACCGTATGTGTGTTTCCAGCTTCGTCAGCGCCTCCCTCATTTGCGCTCCTCCGCGGTCGCCCTCGTCCTCCGCTTTCATCTGCACCAGTGCGCAATCAGCTCCGCCGCGCCCCAGCCGATGCTGACTGACGCCTCGTGTCCCGCGTCGCCGCGGGCAACAAAAATCCCCTGCCTCGGGGGGCGCCAGAGGGGGGTGATGACCAGGGGGGGGGATATCATGGCCGGGGCCGTGATATCTCCCCAGATCTCATGGCCCCTCTCTTCTTATTTCCATACGTCCCTTGGCCCCCCCGGGGGCCGCGCACAGGCCTCGGGCCATGAGTTGCGCCCCCCCCCCCTTCCTTTTTTGAACGCCCCCCCCTTGGCCGCCCCCGACTCTGCCTCGCCCTCGGCGCACCCTGCCTCCTCAGTACGGTCAGGGGCGTCTGGTTGGCGTGCCGCGCCGCTAGCTCCGGCCCACCTCGCTTCGTCGCCACACGCTGAGTACGTCCCCGTCTTCGAGCGTCAGTGTCCCGAGCTCTTCCCACCCCGCGGCCCCGCGGCGCACGGCGTGTCGCCGGGGCCGCCGCCGCGAGACGCAGAAGAACCCAGCCGCATCCTCGCTACTCGAAGGAGAAGGAATTGCACAAACATAGATTGTATCTAGTTGCATCGAAGAAGAAGAAGCTAGTCGTATCCTACTCGCCATTCCCTCGAAGGATAAACAATTGCAGAAACATAGGTTGTCGGAGCTCCGCGAGGATTTCTTGGATCGGCGCCAGGCCCTCCTGGCGACGCTCTCGGCGCCGCCCCTCCAAGGATCCAAGGAACCCGCACGGAGCTCCGAATGGTCATGGTTATGCAGTTTGTTTTTCCTCTATTCTCGCCCTCCCCGTCCTCTTCCGCAGACGTAGTTCGATGATCCTCAGGACGTGTGTTAGCCAAATGTGTGCTTATCCCGTTCAGCTCTGCCGATAGCACGCAGCCTGTGCAGGCATTCATTGCACCGCCTGCGTCCTATTGAAGGGCTTCGGGGGACAAGCACACGCTGGCGCTACGGTAGGTTCGTGTCGTGTCGACCGGCGGCGACCCCGCCAGCGGCGTTCAACCTTGAACGCCGCGGGCGACCCAGAATCGTTCGATGTGGAACGATTTCGACGTTTCGGAAACGGCCGATCGTTCAAGGTTGAACGATCCCCGCGGTGTCAGAAACCAACGCTGGGGTCGACACGACGCGAACCTGCCGTAACACGCGTTCTGAGGATCATCGGATTTGGAGCGCCTGCCCCTCCGCAGGACCAAGCCGCGTGACTGCCCCGCCGCGGCAGCCCTTTTGGCGCCGCGGAGCCCGCCGTCCAGCTCGCGCTCGGCTGCGGGGTGCAGCCCCGGGGCGCCCGTTGGGCTGCCCTCGCTTCGAGACGGGCGCGGTGCGGCATGAGGGAAAGGACTCGGAGGGCAGAGAGCGGCAAAGCATAGTTGCTTTAAGCAGGCAAGGAGCACCCGGTTCCGATTCCGGGGGGGGGGGGGCTGTGAGTGTGTATTGTCGGGTGGGGTCCACGCTCGCACGGGAGCCCCTCTCGGGGTTACCATACTTATCGCGCCTTCATCGCTTTGCCCTTCCCCATTCCTCCTCCCTATGGGTTCGAGTGCGTCTTGTTATTTCATCACATCCCTCTGAGAAATTATGTGTGTGCCACGTGTTGTTCCTCTGGAGAGGGGTCCTGAAAGTTCTCGCCTTTCCCAGCTTCCGCGGAGCCGTTCCTGGTACTGGGACCGCCCAAAAGCGGCCCAGGGTTCAGAGTCGCTCCCAGGATAAAGCCCAGGGCCCAGGACCCGTTTCCCGTGGGAGCATGGTTTCCATGGCGAGCGATGGCCACCGCTGGTTTCAAGACTGCGTCTAGCACTACTGGCCACGTCCCTGTCCTCGTTCCTTGTGCGACTCTTGCTCTCATCAGGGCGACAGGTCGGGGCAGCCGTGCTGGCAGGAGTGAGGCTCAAGATGTCGCATGCGGGGGGTAAGAGTTGCAGCAGTGTCATAGACACATGAAGATCTAGTGTTGCACTGACGCACTATTCGAACTGTCTTGCAAGCCGTCCGCCTGGGCGCAGAAAAGACTGCGCGCCTTATCCCTCACACAATGTTCGATGGTTCGATTCTTTCATTCTATCCTGCCTCGCGATGTAGCTTGGCGACGCAACTGACTAAATCTATGACTCTGAGGTGGGCTGACTCAGAAGGTCAAGAGCTTTGGATGGGTTCCAACACTACCGCGCGTAGACTTCGGCTACCACTGGACTAGACGAGCAGCGACTTGGGCGTATGATGATGAGTGTCTCACCCTGATGCCGTGCTTGGACGTTTTCGCGAAGCGTTCGCACACAGCTCACATCGGCAGATCATCGTTGCCATTGCGACCCATGTTTCGAGCAGCTTGCTTGGTTCAGAATCCGAGGTATCGCACGGGGTGTTGAACCATATTCACAGTGTTGTTTTTACATGGCGGTTCGGCACGTCAAGCGTTGTAGCCAGGGCGTTATGTTTCCCATTAGCGTCCGTTGTTTCTGTCAAACACAGCCCGGTCGCGCGTGCGCGCTGGAAACCAGCATGCGCGCCTCTGTTAGCGACATCGGCTCTTGGAGTGCATCGAGATGGAAACATGTTGCTGTATGAATCGGCAAGGTCAGGCTCATGCCGACCGCAGAGATTAACGTGTATTGCGAACACGCGTGTCGATAAAGTGCGGAATGGCATACCACATGTACGGACCAGCCTTAAGTCGGGCCTGTCCCTCTACAGGAGGAAAATTCAAAAATTGTCAAAACCAATGCGATGGGGATTATTGTTGACTATTTTTGAATTTCTTTGGATTGTTCCTAACTTTTCATCCAAAATCCCCCTGTAGGGGGACACGCCCGACTTAATATTAGCCCATCATCGTGACCCGTGATTGCTTTTTCGTGAGCCCGCATCGTTGTCTTGATCGATGTTTAAGGAGCCGCTGCAATGCAGCAGGTGCCTCGAACACGACGTGATTGTTCACGCGCACAACGGCGTTGGACATATTGCCTGGACGCTATGGCAAAACTACATAGACGATACGATGCGATTCTCGTGTACAGCAGCATTCCGAAGCGATCACGCAAGCAAGAGTCGGCAATGTGACAATACAACAGTTTGTGCAAGCAATGTGGCGCAGCACGGGCACAATACATTGACTATTCGATTCGTTTTGCCCCGACGCTTCAATCTAGATCCTATGACCCTGCATCGTCTTGGAACACGTCCCAGAGCAAGTGTTGCGAACGGACGAACATGTAGTTAAGCCCGATCAAACGCGGCGAGTGGAGCAGGCGCTCACATTATCTTGGACCGGAGAACGATTGGGGCTGCGGTCAGAAGTGCGGCCGCGACCCACGCGGCAGGGGCGGACGGTACATGAACACGCGGAAGCCACCGTGACGAGAGCGTTTGGGGCCTTGGGCGGCGGGACGCGGTGCGAGAGAGGATGCGCGCCAGGATCGTGACGGCTTGGGTGCGCGCGACATGCAGGAACGCGAAGGAAGGTGTAAGCAATGGAATGTGCGAGGCGGGAGGGGGAAGGCGGGGACACGCCTCTTTCTGGCGATGGTTGGGTAGCTGGATGCTGGCAGCATCGCTCCGCTTTCTGGTTGGAATTCCATCTCTACCTTGTGAGGTCGAGGGTCTGTGGTGGCTCAGATTTGGGTCAAGGGTAGGTTCAGGGCGTAAGTGGTCGGTTGGGGGTTGGGGTTCAGGTTCGGGTTCGGGTTAGCTTGAAGCTTATAGTTGGGGTGACGGATGAAGGTACGGTAGAAGGTAGGAGCTAGAGGGTTATCATTTGTGCCAGTGCCACGGGCTCAAAAATAAGCTTGTGATAAGGACGGTGGTAGTGAATGGCTTCTGGCTGGGAATCGGACTACCGTATGGCAGGTCAGAGCGCACCTACGGATCAGGGATCGGATGCTGTGTGTAGGTTTGATACTGGGTTCGGAGTACAGTCTTTGTAAAGGATATAAGGTCAAGGTGAACTTGAATGCAGTCGAAGGTGCTGGCGGCAGTGTCGGCTTAGGTGTCGCTGTTGATGTGGGATATGTTGGTGCTGGCGTTGGTGATGGCGGTGACGCCAGAATTGCCCTCGGAATGGTTGCCGACGTTGCAGGCATTGGTGTTGGCATAGGCCTCAGCATTGAAGTATATTGTCGGTGGTGTTGATAGTGGTTTTGGCGCACGCGTCGGAGCTGTGGTCGGTGATGTTGGCAACGGTGCATGCATTGGTGCCCACTTGTGGGAACCGACGTTCGCGGTGGACATGCTGGCGACGGTGCCGGCATTGGTAGAATTTCCGCGCGGAGTTGGCGCCAGTGCCGTTCCTAATGCAGAGAACCAGAACCAGAGAAACACTAGTACCGCATCCGTGAGTATCGTCTTCGGTGGAGCTGCCTGTGGGCCACGAAACGCCGTACTGGGTGGCGCGGAACGCATGCGAATGGGGCCACGAAGCGTGCGAGGGGTGTGCCGAAATGGGTGGCCGGGACGCATGCGAACTGCGCCATTGGAACCTTAGGTGGAGCTCTCCATGGGGCCACGAAACGTGCGAGGGCGTGCCGAAATGGGTGGCCGTGACGCATGCGAACTGCGCCACTGGGACATTGGGTGGAGCTACCCATGGGTACACGAAACGTGTGAGGGTGTGGCGACTTGAGTGGCCGTGACGCATGCGAACTGCGCCACTGGGACTTTAGGTGGGGCTCCGTGTGGCCCTGTGGGGCCACGAAACGTGTGAGGAGTGTGCCGAAATGGGCGGCCGGGACGCATGCGAATTACGCCACTGGCGCCTTCGGTGGAGCTCCGTATAGGACCACGAAGCGTGCGAGGGGTGTGCCGAAGTGGGTGGCCGGGACGCATGCGAACTGCGCCACTGGGACCTTGGGTAGAGCTCCCCATGGGGCCACGAAACGTGTGAGGGCGTGCCGACATGGGTGGCCGTGACGCAAGCGAACTGCGCCACTGGGACATTGGGTAGAGCTCCTTGTGCGGCCACGAAATGAGTGAGGGGTGTGCCGAAATGAGAGTCGATGATCGTGTTGATGATGATGATGCTGATGATGCTGATGATGCTGATGATGCTGATGCTGATGCTGATCATGATGGTGATGATGATGATGATATGATGATTATGATGATGACGACGGTGATGTTGATAATGCTGTTGGTGATAATGTCGTTTGATGTTGATGATGATGATGATGGTGATGATGATGATGATGATGATGATGATGATGATGATGATGATGGTGGCGGTGGTGGTGGTGGTGGTGGTGGCTGTGGTGGTGTGGTGGTGGTGGTGGCGGTCATGATGATGATGAGGTTGATGCTGATGTTGATGATGATGATGATGATGATGATGATGATGGTGGTGGTGATGCTGATGCTGATGCTGATGCTGATGCTGATGCTGCTGGTTATGCTGATGCTGATGCTGCTGATGATGGTGGTGATGATGATGCTGATGCTGATGATGATGATGGTGATACTGATGATTATGATGATGCTGATGCTGATGATGATGATGGTGATACTGATGATTATGATGATGGTGATGATGATGATGGTGATGGTGATCGTGATGATGATGACGATGATGATGATGATGATGATGATGATGATGACGATGATGATGTGCGGAGAGCATAGGCAAGGAGGGAGAGGAGGGATGGGGAGCAGTAAGGAGAGGAGAGGAGAGGAGAGGAGACGCGGGGCGCTGTCTCGTGAAAACGAGGACCCAGCACCATAGGATGGTTGGGAAATGCCCGTTTGGTTCTGGAGATGGGTTCAGGATAAGTAGCGGAATAGGGTGGCAGGTCGCGATGGGAAAGTATTGAGCGACGGGGCGGAGGTGGAAAGCGTAGTCGGATAGGCAATAGGATCATGAGGCGGTGCCGGAATAGAGTCGGCAGCTAGATGCCGGATCGGGTCACGGAATGGTGCCGGGAAAGGGTCGGACGTTGAAGTCGGATAGGCGATAACGACAGGAGGAGTTGAGGGTTGGAAGCCCAGATCCGATAGGCAATAGGGCCAGGAGGTGGAGCGGGAATGTGATCGGAAGCCGGGTTGGATAGGCGATAGAGTTAGGATGTGGAATTAGGATTGGGTCAGAAGCCAAAGTCGGATAGGCGGTAGTTGGACCTGGACGGGATCAATTGCGCTGTCGTCCTATTGGCGGGCAGTTGCGCGATTTCTGGTGTCGGGATGTACCCGACAAGGTGGTACACGGATTCTGCTTTTGAGATGC